GGTTTGGAGGAGTTAGTGTCCCCGGGCTTAATAGTGGGGTGCCCGGGCACTGCTGGTGATTAGGTGCAAATCTAGAGGGTCCTTTGGAACCAGCGCTTGCCGCCGGAGAGTGTGTGTACCTCGGGCAGTGCGCGCAGGGCACAGGCCCCCCCCACCGCCAGATGCCAGAGCCTCCGGGCCAGGGAGGGGGGCTGGGCTGGGCTTGCCATCCCCGAAAGGGTGTGTGTACCTCGGGCATTGCGCACAGGGCACAGGCCCCCCCCACCGCCAGATGCCAGAGTCTCTGGGCCAGGGAGGGGGGCTGGGCTGGGCTTGCCACCCCGGAAAGGGTGTGTGTACCTCGGGCATTACGCACAGGGCACAGGCCCCCCCCACCGCCAGATGCCAGAGTCTCAGGGCCAGGGGGGGGAGCTGGGCTGGGAGTGCCATCCCCGAAAGGGTGTGTGTACCTCGGGCATTGCGCACAGGGCACAGGCCCCCCCCACCGCTGGATGCCAGAGGCCCCATCAATGGTTCACCAGCGGCTCCATCAATGGTTCACCAGCGGCACATCTTTACGCATCTAGCGCCAAAGGTCCAACAGGAAAACGTTATGCCTGGCGCTCACCGGGGCGTTGGTTAGACCCAGGCCCGAGCCCACCAAACCATGCCCGACGGGAGACCACCCTTCCCGGCCTACTTGTCGGGACGTCCCGCGCCTGGAGGTTTTTGCCCGACACCCACAATCTCTGACCTGCCATCAGGGTTTCGGGGAAGGCGAAGATTAATGGACTTAGTCTCTGACAGTCCAGTCGCCAGACCCCACGGTGACTGATCGATAGGAGCTAGTGTGGCGCCCCAGGGGCTAGGCCCCCACCCAGGCCCCCCAAAGCACCAATGGGGTCGGCCTCTATGGGTGTGGCAGATCCTCCCCGTCCTGGGCGCTCTATCAGGGAGGCGTGGGGGTGTCCCTCCGCACACAGCGCCCCCCCTTCCCGCCCCGATCTGTGGGTAAAGGACCCAGATGGCCCGTCTGGCTAAATGACCCAGAGCTTGTCTGCTGCTCAGCCCGCCAGCCCGCCCCCCTGGACTCCGTTTCCCCCGCGCCGATACTCGGCCCGTGCCCCCGCTCCACGCCCTGCGAGGGCTGGGGGATGTTCGGTGGGTTCGGTCGAGTCACCCGGCGTGGTGAATCGAGGCCCCAGGGGCAGCGTAGGGAACGAGCTGGTGTAGGCTTCGATTCTACCCCCGCCCGAGTGTGTGCGTCTGCATCCCGTCCGTCCGCCCGCAACGCCGCCCACCCCCAGGGTGTATCCTTGCTGGCTCCCCACTGACCCCCACCCCGCCTACCCTGCTCCCGGGGGGAGTGAAGGTGGTTGGTTGGGAGGGGAAGCTAGTGGACTCCGGCGAGGTGAAACGTGCCAGGGTCAGTGGTGCCGGGGTTACGGGCTGTCTGGACCCCCCTTTCGATGGTTGGTGCGTATCCCATGTTGGTTGTAGCAGGTCACAAAAGCTCCCGCGGCTGGCGCGTGTGGAGCTGTCCCCCCCCAAAAAACGACGCATGTTCGATGCTTCAACGTCTACAGCCGGCTCGCGCCTCACCTGACGGCCGTTCACAAGGTGACCAACGCGGACGAGAAGCGGCTGCTGCTCGCGCTGGCCGCCGGCCGCGTGGACACTCGGAAGTCGCCGTGTCCGGTCCCGGGCTGTCGCAGGACGCCAGCCCGCCTGGACAGGCACTTGAGACAGCACGTGGAACTCTCAACCTCGGGACGGAAAGAGGGTATGGGGAGGGTGAAACGCCGGAAAGTAGCCCGGGAGTTGCAGTGGCTGCGGTCCACCCAGCCTGCAATCCCCGTCGTGTCCCAGCTAACATCGTCCTCCGAGGGGGAGCGGGACTCGGAGGGCCCAGAGTCCGGCCGCCCGTGCACCGCCCGCGGCTGCAGGCGCGCCACCGAGCGCATACAGGGTCAACTCACGGACCTGGGGAAACAGGTTACCAAGATGCGGTCCACCCTGCTCCAGATCACACACCTCTACCGGGAGCTGAGGAAGGGAGAAGGGGGGAGAAGGAGGAGGAAGAGGGCGAGGAGAACCAGGTCGCCTCCTGCACCACCGACTCCCGGGCGAGGGGCGGCCGGAGGTCCGACGCCCCCCGAGCCTCCGGAGGCTTTGGAACCCACTGCCTACCCGTTCCCGGACCACGTCCCCGCGCTGAGTTGAGTATATTTCAGGCACGTCACTGTCGCTCTGCTTGCTGTGTGCCTTCGGGGAAGTTGACTCTTGGTTGTGCTCGTTCCACAGACCTTCTCTTGGGGGAGTTCGAAGGGTACCAACTGGGCAGCAAGCCCACCGCGCGCCTGCGGAACAATGTCACTTCGAAGCTGGGGAGAATCAAAGCCTTCCTTGGTTACATGGCCAGGGGCACCGCGGAGCCAGGGAACTTCCTTTTCCTCAACCAACCAGCCCGAATCCGAGCGTGGGCCGCCCTGGTAGGTCAGATGCGCATGGCCGAGCCCACCAGGCAGCACTACCTGAAGAACGTGGCTCAGTTCCTGGACTGCCTCTCGGAGACGCCGCCGGCCGTTTGTCAGCTCTCCAGCACGGCTCTGGTTCTGATTCGAAGGGAGGTCAGAGCCCTCATCCGCGGCATACGCCGGCGTGTCGTCGTGCACAAGGTAAGCTCGTGCACTGAAAGCCCCCCGCGGAAAGGGCGCAAGAGGACAGAGACTTCCGTCTCTCCCCTGGTAAAAATCACATTCTCTTTGGCGTGGACAGCAGAACGTGTGGCATTGGCTAACTGCCCTTTATGTGTCTCTTTTCCAGGAGGGAACCAGCAGGAGGACGCTGCCATGGCGCCCTGCCAGGGGGAAAAGCCAGGGCGCTCGCCTGCTCGAACAAACAGAAGACTCTGAATCATCCTGAATAAATATTGTACAACTTAATGGTCAAATGGTGTTCAGTGTCTTCATTATTCTTTTTATTTATTATCTGTGTGGTAAAAGTAGATTCAGTAGGGACAAAAATGAGCCCTGTCTTCTTAGTTCAACGCTGTATGCCTGCTGCGTCCAGGTTCTGCCTAGGCTACGTTCCGATTGGGACAGATTAGCCCTAACTTGTGTGTTAAAAGTGTCACGTGGGATGCCCTCGTCCAGGTTCTGCCTTGGCTACGTTCCAATTGGGACAAACTATCCCTGCCTTGTGTGTTAAAAGTGACTCGCGGGACGCCCCCGTCCAGGTTCAGCCTTGGTTGATAGCTCATAGGGAGAATGAATCCCTTTTGCAGCACAAGGGGGTGATGGGCTGGACAAATCTGTCCAGGTCTGCAAATGCTTTGAACGCCCAGAAGGCCTTGAGTCCAATTCTGTATATTAGCAAGCTTCTCCCGGAACAGCTCGGTCCTTAGAGATGCATGAATAGGTCAGGACAGGGCAGCTGTGGAGTGGAGGTTAACTTTATGGAGAAAGTGTTATCACGAGTCCCCACAGCCGGCCCCACGCGTCTCTAAGCGGTGACCTGTACCCCGTTAATACGGATTCATCCCTCGTTCAGGCCGGATTAATCAGGACATACGCCTGGGGCCGGCTCGCTAGGACGGACGCCCAGGGCGCAAGCCCACAGCCACGTAGCTCGATTCGGATTCGGACACATGACACGGACACACAGAGGTAATTTATTCAATTTTATTTAAAGGGGGAAATTGAAGCAATTTACGCCGTTTGGAGTTGGAGGATAGCCGGCTTGCTTGGCTGCTGCGCTTGGCCACTTTTTTCTCCTAGAAGAAAGAAGAACAGACACATATCAGCCATGGTTTGAGATATGTAAATCGGGCAACAACACACTTACTCACCGATGGAGGACGGCCATCCGTTTGATTATCACCGGGACTTGGACACAGGGCCTGTTCGAACCAGTGCCGGTACGACATTGCTTGACTTGCGGTTAAGCTCATTGCGTAATACCGGTCAGAGGTACCGGTGTCATGTGCCATGAAATCAGACAGCTTCGATCTGAGTTCGCCGGTGTGAACATGCTTAATCTGGGGGACACACAGAGACACATTTAGCCACAATTTCACCGCAAATATCACAATTACTAACCCGGGTAAAGGATATCTTACGTGGGTTGCGATTGATGAACGCACGTCGGTAAATGTGGGGCAGCCCGGAAGTTTCATCTCGGCCCAAGCTATTTGAAAATACTGGTTGAGATTTTTACAGCTGGCTGGCCGCGATGTGAAGAAGAAATAACGGGCAGCATTCCCGCCAGGCAGGCTGGATCTGACCTCCAGAAACCTGTTGAACCATTCGTATTCTTCAGCTGTGACAGCCAACTGAGCGGCCCCGTAGGTTTGGTTTGTCTTGTGGGTCTCAGCCTTATATTACACACAGACCAAGCCGATTAGCGCGGCTCAAAAGCCGGGTAGCTTAATTCATTTGGTCCCCTTAGTATGGGGATGGGGGGGGTTACTCACGTTAATGACAAACGATGAACCATCTGATGACCGCCGAGCACTCACCACCTCTTGGATCAAAAGGTTCTGGAACACGCCTGGGCGATGGCCCGTTATGGATACTAGGTAGGCAATAAGGTAACCGTATAGCCGCCACTGACGCCTCGTGTTGGGGGAAGAGGACAGTTCATCTGCGCGAACAAACCAAACCAGATCACAGGTTAGGCGGAGACAGTATCCCCATAGCCATTAATGCAGCGACCGCAACGAGTTCACCTAGAAGCTTGGGAATGACCGATCTCGCCTGCCGATGACAGCTCCATAAGTCACATCTTTTAATGAGCCTGGCTTCTTTCGCCCTCCTCACACAGCGTTCGTGGGCCGCGACCTTACGACGCAACCCGCGGGATAAGGACCGTAATTCCCGCAATATCGCGACCATGGCACGGGGCGTAAGCCGGCAATAGGTTGGCGGAGCTTCGGCTATGTATTGCAAGAATTGAATGGCATGCTTTACGTACTGGAAACGGGTCGATTCCACAATGGGAGACCGCCCCAAATCGACCAC